ATAGCAAGTTTATGCAATGCTTGAACTTGGCTGGACTGACAATTTTTTTCCCATATCTGTTGGATTCTCTTCAGTGGGAACCTTCTTTAACTCAATCTGCCCTTTGGTAATTAGGTCTCTGATGAAGTGAAATCTCATGTCCACATGTTTTGTTCTCTCATGGTAGATAGGAATTTTACTTAACAGTATAACACTTTGACTGTCTGAGAAGATAGTCACTTTGGTGTCAGTCAATTCAGATTCTGTCAATAATCCTTGCATCCATATAGCCTCCTTGAAACCATCTGCCAGTGCCATATACTTTGCTTCAGTTGTTGATAAGGCAACTAGAGGCTGGAGTTGTGATTTCCAGCTGATGCAATTCCCTCCAAGGGTGAAGCAGTAGGCAGTGGTTGACTTCCTGCTATCCCTGTCACCTGCAAAGTCTGAATCCACAAACTCCACAAGATCAAGTGTAGATGTTCTTTTACAATACTCTAAACCTATACATGCAGTACAGTTTATATATCTGAGTACCCATTTCAGTGCAATCTAGTGATTCCTGGATTTGACATGAACCTACTCAATAAAGAAATTGCAAAAGCTAAATCTGGTCTGGTGCAAATCATTGCATACATCACAGACCCTATCACATTTGAACAAGGGACAGTCTCCATTTTAATGGTTTCAGCAGAGTTCTTTGGACATTGAGACTTAGACAGAATAAAATGATTTGCAAGAGGCATTGTTACAGGCTTACAATCAGACATTCCAAATTTGGTAACTAACTTCTGCAGATATGGTGTTTGATGAACCTTTAGAGTATTCCTGGTTCTGTCTTTGTTTATCATCATTCTCAATATTTTCTTAGCCACTCCTAGGTCTTTCATATCAAATTTAGAACTAAGTCTAGATTTTAGTTCAGTTATCTTTGATTTTGATTTACTAATCAATAGCATACCATCAACATAAAGCAACAAGTAAATAGGCATGGCATCTTTCAAGGCAAAGTAAAAACAGTTATCATATTTGCTCCAAGTGAATCCTAGGTTAAGTATAAAGGTATCAAACCTTTTATACCACTGTCTGGGTGACTTTTTAAGTCTATACAAGGACTTATGCAGTCTGCATACATGGTCAGGTCTAAGGCAGTTTACAAAACCTACTGGTTGGGCCATGTAAATTCGTTCTTCTAAGTCCCCAAGAAGGAATGTTGTTTTCACTTCAAGTTGCTCTAACTCTAGGTCTTGGTGAGCTACTACAGACAGCATCATTCTAATGGTTTTATATTTAAAAACGGGAGAGAATACTTCATTGAAGTCTATGCCCTCCCTTTGGGTGAACCCTTTGGCCACCAATCTAGCTTTGTATCTAGGTGGTTCATTAGTATCTACACCCTCTTTAATCTTATACAACCATTTACACTAGATAATTTTCTGGTTTTTAGGTTTAGGGACTAAGGACCAAGTCCCATTTACTTGTAGAGAATTCATTTCCTTTGTCATTGCTTGCCACCATTTATGCTTCTCCTTTGAGGTGATTGCTTCAGAGTATGACTCTGGTTCCCTCCTCAGAATTTCAGTTCCTACCATTAAGGCTGTATAAACCAGCTTTGCAAATGAGTATCTTGCTGGTGGCCTTATGTCTCTTCCGGTCCTGTCCCTTGCCAGTTGGTAATCCTGCAAATCATCCTGCAAGGGGCCTTGTGCCTCTTCTGTTTCATCCTCATTTTGGTCAGGTTCATCAGGTGTTATTCCTTCTTCTGGTGCAGGATCCCCTTCAGTGTGGGTATTCTCTGGTTGCCTGATGGTTGCCTCCACCTCAATTGGTGTAGTGCTTGGTTATGTTACATTTTTGCTTGGAGAACTTGCATCAACATTAGCAAACTTGCAAGGGAAATCCCCTTCATTAAAAATCACATCTCTGCTAATAATGATCTTAACCCTTGGTGCAATCCTATCCCACAATCTGTAACCTTTAGTGCCCTCATGGTATCCTAAAAATATACACTTTACGGACCTGGGCTCCAATTTCCCATCACTAGTGTGTGCATAAGCAACACATCCAAACACTCTTAGATGACTAAGGTTTAATTCTCTTCCTAACCATTTTGACTCTGGACAGTTGAAACCTATGGAGCTATTAGGACTTCTGTTTATTAAGTAGGCAGCAGTGGTCAATTCTTCTCCCCAAAAAGTTTTTGGGAGACCTGAGGTGAACAAGAGGCACCTGACTTTCTCTAACAAGGTTCGGTTCATTCTCTCAACAACTCCATTTTGCTGAGGGGTTTTCCTAACTGTCCTATGCCTTAATATACCTTGATCCCTACAGTAATTGTCAAACTCCATATTGCAGAATTCCAAACCATTGTCTGTCCTTTAAGCCTTCACTTTTCTATCAATTTGATTTTCCACAAGTGTCTTCCAGGTTTTGAACTTAGACAGTGTCTCATCTTTGGACTTCGGTAGGTATACCTAGACTTTTCTACTGAAGTCATCAACAATTGAAAAGAAATAGGAATTCCCCCCATGAGATCTAATTCTTTCAGGCCCCCAAAGGTCAGCATGGAGATAGTCTAAATAGTTTTTAGATAAGTGTATACCTTTGGTGAAACTACCTCTATGTTGTTTTCCTAAAACACAAGTTTCACAGAAATCTAGGGTTGTTATTTTATCTCTACCAAATAACCCTTGTTGTCTAAGAATACTCATACCCTTTTCACTCATGTGACCTAACCTCAAATGCCACTTATCAATATCATTCAGATTTGTGGAGACCAGGGCACTGTTCCCATTCTCAGAGTAATAACTGCCACACAAAATGTATAGCCCATTTTTCTTCAATCCCCTTATAACAATATGGTTATTCTTAAACACATTTATACAACCCCTTTCAGCCTTATAGCTACAACCTGACTCATCTAGGGTACCTAGGGATATTAGGTTCCTCTTTAGTTCAGGAATGTACCTAACATTTGATAACACAATAATTTTTCCATCATCTAGCCTTAGGGTAATGTTACCTAATCCTAACACTCTGCAAGTGTTATTGTTACCCATATAGATAGTTTCATATTCACCACCCCTAAAATCCTGAAACCACTATCTGTTAGGGCTCATATGGAAGGAGCATCCAGAGTCTAATACCCAGTCCTGAGTCTGATCTGTCCTAGACATAGTTAGAACTTCTGGATCAGTAGTATTTTTATCAATACAGGCAACATTGCTCTCAGTGTTCACTGATTTTTGTTTCCTAATCAAATCATAGCAATTCTTTTTTAAATGACCAGGCCTATTACAGTGAAAGCATTTTCTAGTCTCCCCTTTCTTGTTATCCCCTTTTCCTTTCTTTTTAGCCTTAGACCAATTGTTTCTTTGCATGCCACTAGAGGAACTACCTAGATCAGGTTTTCCTTTTACAAACAGATTGTTGCCACTTCTTTTCTGAACCTTCAATTCTAATTCCCTAGCCTTTAGTCCTGATACTATAAGATCTACACTAGGGATTGTGCCTGAATACTGTAAAGCGTTCTTAACAACTTGATAGTCCTCTGTCAGTGAGTTTAGTAGGATCATTGCTAAACTCGTTTCACCTAATTCTTGGTCAGTACCCTTTAGGATTATAGTCATTTTCAAGAATTCATCAATATTATCTTCTATTGATTTACTACTGTCCATTCTATATGAAAAAAGTGCACCCTTCAAAAAAGCAAGATTTGGTGCATTTTGTAAAGCATACAGAGTTTCGAGATTACCCTAGAGTGCGATTGGAGCCTCCAATCCATCCACTTTCCTCAGCACGTTGTCTGCCAAGTTCATCACGATCAAGGTGTACGCCTCCTCGTCTATTTCTGCCTTTCTTCTTAACTTGTCCGCTGACCACTTTTTAGCATCCTTTTCCAGTGCAATCCCTACTTTATTGTGCGAAAGTAGGGCCTTCATTTTCTTCTTCCAAGAATTGAAGTCAATTTTTCCGTCGTACTACGCAATTTCTATGCGGGTTGAACTAGTAGTGCTCATAATCAGAAATCAGTGTTGATTCTAGATTATTTCTAGTTTGGAGAAATACTAAAGACTCCTAGGAACCCTAGAACTCGAAATTTTAGAAAACCCCCAATATCGATGAAACCCTAGAATTTAATTTTCTCAAATTCGAATCTCAAACTCACTCTAGGCTCTAAGGTGAAAGGCTCTGATACCACTGTTGTAATAACACACTCACAAAACAAAGATTATAACCAATAACACACACAACCACAAAAGATCAAGAACACCACAACTTTACCGTGGTTCACCTTTCCAAGATTGGGAAGGCTACGTCCACGTTGAGCTCCGGAAACGTCGAAGCCCACTACACTATTAGGAAAACAGTTTACAGATTACAGACACAAGATCGAAAGATTCACTCAAACCTAAAATCACCCTATCTGGTAACTAATAGCCCAGGAAACTATACACTAAGAATCCCAGCCAACCGAGAGACAAAACCCCTCAAACAGAATGACAAATCAATCACTCAACCCGTTACACAGAACCAAGATTTCAGAACAAAGGATGAACCCTAGCAGAGCAAAAACCTAACCCTGTTTCAATCGAATCAAAAGCCTAAAGACTAAAGAGAAAAGTACACTTATATATCGTTGACCAGGATGGACTAAGCACAGCCGTTGGATCTTCTCAAAACTGATGGTCCAAATTCATACTTGAAACGATAGCTTATTGGTTTAAGTGACACGGCACCGTTTCGGTCTTCACACTTACATATATATTAAATTAATTTGCTTTAAAATTAATAACAATTGTTTTTTATATATTAAAATCACTATAAAAAGAAAAGAAAATAGTTTTACACTATTTCTATAATATTTTAACCTTAAATAAATGGATTTATATTAATTATAATGTGTGGATGTGAACGTGCAGACTAAAGAATATCCTTCAAATATAATGTTTCTATGCACACAGCCGTCTCCTGAAGGTGGAGAGACATGCATACTGCCTAGTCACATTATAGTAAGCAAGATGGAAAAAGAGGTTCCAGAATTTGTTTCCAAATTAGAAACAAATGGTTTTATTTTCAAAATAAAGACTGCAAATGTTAATTCAAATGCTATCCTTGGTACAACATGGAAGTCTTATTTGAACACTGAAGATGAAGTTGAAGCCAAAAAGAGGTATGTATATGTTTATGAATCTCAATTATTCTTATTCAACAATCAAATTAATGCATTCATCCTTATAAATATTAGTAATAGCTAGAATAACTTGTCTTGTAGATCATTGGAGAAAGCGTCGTTGCAATTCAGTGGAATTCAATGAAGATGGGAGTGCAGAGTTTTTGTATGGACCATTAAATCCAATAAGGGAGTTTGAAGGAAAGAGGGTTTGGTTTATACGAATAGTGAGGCATTCTGCAAATAAAAAAGACACTAGTACTAGTTTTGGAGATGGCACTCCTCTTCTAACAAATGCCTTAGAAACCTACCAAAATATACTGGATGAAGTGTGTGTTGACATCAAATGGGAAAAGGGAGATGTAATGTTGCTTGACAATTTATCTGTTCAACATGGAAGGCGTCCTGCCAAGCCACCGCGTTCTGCATTTGTGTCCTTGTGCAAATAAGATAATTACTATCTTGCTGACAATAAGGAATGATAGTGACAATCGTGAGTGCAAAAATCTTTCTCGTGTTACATATTAATTTTTAATAAAATAAAATATATATTATATTTATTTTGAATATAGCACATGACATGATTGTTGCACTTGTGACTGTAGCTGTCTTACATTATGTAAGACAACTGCTTTGCCTTTGCGCAATAATTGAGCCTTTTAAATTGTGATTTGGATTACTACTGTACAGCCCCTTGGGCCTAACAACAATATATAATTGAGCCCATCTATGAAACTACTATTCAACTAATATTATTAAATAATCATATAGTTGTAATCATGGTTGTTAGTATCCTATTATACGCGATACGTATCCTATGATAGGATTCGATATGGGTCACCAATGATACGTATCGGAGAGTGTATTATAAACTTTTCGATACGTTGATATGTATCATACGATATGATATGTATCCGTTTGTATCCTTAAAAATATCAATATAAATCGATACGACTTTATTAATTTGGGCCAAATGTCGAAAAAAAATTTCAGGTCGAATCCAGGTCACCCAACCCGGTTCACTAAAACCTACTCAAATTTGCTCATTTTGCATGGAGAAAGTGAAAAGAAAGATGTATTATCTATTTTGCATGATAATAATAATACAAGTGGAGTTATAAATATTAACATTGATTTTAGAAATGATATGAATGGTTAAGAGGAAATGATATAGGTTCTTAATTTTGTGATTAATTTTGATTATGTAATACCATAATTTAAAGTCAATAATACCACAAAATTTGTTAATTAATCATGAGGATGATATTAATTTTTAGAAAAAGAATATTATTTTATTAATTTTTTTGAAAAAGGCGTATCCTGTCGATACATAATTTGAAAAATTAGGTTTTCAATATACAATACAATACACGATTTGACAATCATTGATGTAATAATATTATACTTGTATAAAAAATGAGCATTAACACTGCCGAAATTAATACATAATGATATGTATTTAATTAACTGCTAATATTTAAACATCATGCTCCAATTTGATTACATAAATGCATATCTAATTAATGTCTCAAAGCAGTCCCTGTACCAGAGATTTGGTCTCGCAACAAGTGAGTTTAACCTGAGCACCAAAAATGGTATCAGAAAGCTTCTCGGATACAGCCTTCAACTCAATCAATCGCATTGCATTGCTTATCTCATCCAATCTCTTATGCAGCCACCCCACTTCAATTTTCACCGATTCAAGATCTTCAACCTCAGAGATCATCGCCTTCACCTCAACTTCTATCAAATCTTGTAGCTTAGTTGCGTGTAACTTTTGGATTATCCCACAAAGAATCTCCAAGAAAGATGAAGTACATTGCATAGAGTGCAATGTTGTGTTGGCCGCAATGTCTCCATGCTTCGAAAACATAGCTTTAAGTATAGCCACAAGTTCTTCCTTAATCGTATACTTAGAAATTAACTCTTCAATCTTCATCAAATCATTTGTCGATTCACCTATCTCATTAGTAATAAAAGCTTCGCCTTGACGTTGAATTTTCTGATTCGAGTTGTTGTGATTCTCTTGCTCTGCTGCAACTGAGGATCGGTCTTCTGATTCCTATATAAATCGACAAGTCAAAGAATTTTGATTAATTTCTTTCACAAATTTTAAAGTATCCGCAACGAGAAATGTTGAACTACCTTATTCTCCAAAAACTTGACCAAGTCCTCAAGAGAAGTCTTAGAATTTTCGGTTGTCATAAGCACACCTGCAACATCAGCAGGGGAAACTTTAACCTTTGCAGTAAGTTTTTCAATAATGGGAAAGAGTTCATCATTGAAAATCTCTAAGTAGTTGGCTGCAAGCTGCTTGAAGGTAGAGAATGTGCAATAAGAGAGGTTAATGTGCACATCCATGCGCCCTGGTCGCAGTAAGGCAGGGTCAATTCTTTCTCTATAATTAGTAGTGAAAACTGTGATCTTTTCTTCTCCACAGCATGACAACAGTCCATCAATTGCATTCAGAAGTCCGGCAAGAGTCACCTATTTTGGATAAATTCATAGGAGTCAATAGCTACCAAATAAACACAAAATTTAAGGCATATAGTGAAATCATAACTTGTACAATTACTTCTAGAGTAGTGGTATATTTTCTTGAATAAAATTTCAAATTTCTCATTCTGAATGGTCTGTCGTCTTATGTGACGTTGACATATCACTTACCACCTTAACTCTTCATTTATACGTCAAAATCACATAAGATAATGTATTACATGAAATGAAAATTTGGAAATATCATTTAAAAGGTATAGTATTATTCTTACTTCCATTATGACTTATTTATTGATTATAAAGGTTGAGTCCCTCAAGTATAAGAGAGCCCTCCTTTTCAAAAACCCAAATATATTTATATATATATAACATTGACAAGAACCTAAACGGCTGAAAGTAACAGATTGAAATCTTTAAGTAACAAAAATCCAAAAAAATAACTTGAAAGATCCCACCGAAAGAAACACATTTCTGAAATTAAAGCTTAAAAATAACAAACAAGGCAATTATTAGTCTGAAAAGCATGTTTAATTGCATCGATCTATGAAGTACCTCTCTTTCTTGGGCTTACAGTTACATAGCCAAAAAGCTTAAACAATCTCTCTAACCAACCACACAAACAACACACCGAACAAGAAAAAACCTTAATTTAAAATAAGCAATCATAGAAAAAAACCAAGACTATGATTAAGTAAACAAGTTTAAGACCATATAAACATCAATTAATTACCTGAGGACCCTATAGGAATCAGATTCACTCTTCTCAGCTTCCCGATTTGTAGCTAATAGAGCAGTCCAATCCTCCACTACAAGAATGGAACGGCTGGCACATGAAGCAACAAATTTTCAAGAGTAGAATCAGAGTTAACAGCCGATAAGTTCATATTTATACCATCATAATAATAATTCGCCATTGCAGCAATCAAGCTTGACTTCCCAGTCCTGGTGGACCATATAAACAATAGCCCCTCTTCCAAACTTTCCCACGTCTTATAATACTCTTTTGCATTTCGCAATCTATCAAGATCCTTCACCACTTTCTCTTCAAATACACATCAATAACCAGGTTTTTAAACGTCATGGGGTGGTCAAGATTCATCCTATTCGAACTCCACCGGTCATGTCTCACTGGGTGAAACTTCAAATCTTATTTTGGTCCTTCAAGAATTCGCCATGTCGAGAATATGAGGAGGTACTGTTCTTCACCATTTCTGCGGTGCATTTTATGAAACCTAAGCTCGTACCATCTGGTCTCCAACTGCGAGGTGGAGTTGAAATCAGTGTTGTATCCCACTTCATGGGGACATCTTGAAAATTGTCCACAATCTCGGAGTTTTCTCGAGGCAAACATCAAGTTTCGGATTTTTTCGCTTTTGCGACGGTTAGACGCTGAGGGAGAGGGAGTTGGACAAAGCATGGCCGTCAAGGTAGGCGACAACGGCGTAGAGAGGACGGTTGCTTGAACCTTCCTGGGATTCTTTGATGGGGATTGTGATCTCAGTGGGAAAACGGCGAGTGAAAACTCCGAGTAGGTGCGTAATTCTTCTGGGACAATACGTTAACTGTGCTACGGAGGATAGCGACTGAAGCCACCACGGAGAAGGCTGTCCATTTGCTTCTGTTTCTGTTTTATTGGTACTTTCCAATGCATAATAATTTTTCAAATGACCGACAGAGCAAAGAGCTTAAAAGTTGCTGTAACCCGATATAACTCAACACTTGTAACGCAATTGCATGTGGACTTTGAGTTTGAGACGTTTGTACTTCTAATAAAATTATTCAAAAATAAATATGAAACTTGACCATATAAATAAGGATTTTTATAAAATATCTATTCCAAAAATTTAAACATTATATCTGACAATTATCAACAATAAAATGACTTGTAATCAACTAATAGATGTCTATCAGTTGACTGTTGGTCATTTAATCGATAAAAAATATACTTGTTTTATTAGATAGAATGAAACAAACTATTCTATTTAAAATTTTAAAAGGGAAATTGAAACCTTAGCCAGTTCTCTATGAAAAATAATATATTTATAGGTTGAAATATTTTTTTACTCTATGAAGATTTCGTTAGACCATAAAAAATTGAGAATCAAATGATATTAATGGCTGAGATAAACAAAGCGGAGTTTGATTTTGATAGCTTTAGTGAACGGATGAAGTTTCCTTCCTTAACTTAACCTTTATGAATAATTAGTAGACTATCTTCAACTTTACACGCACGAAGAGAACCACATGGAGTTGTCGTTTTAAGTTGATATGGAGATTAATAAGAAAACCGTCTTTCTTTTCTTTTTAAATTTCCCGAAGGTGGACTGAAATTATTAGATTAATTAGTTACTTACGTCATTAAATTTCAAGATAGGCGATTATAGTCTCCTCGTAAAGATTTTGAAGGTTCTTGGGCGGATTTAAAAGAAGAATAAAATTGAATGAAGAACTGAGAGAGAGAGAAATTAGTTAAGGTTGGAAAGAATGAGATATGGTCTTGTTCATTAATCTTTCCTTGAACCTTTATATTACACGGGATGTTATATAAGCAACGGTTTATACGAAAACGCACCGTATGGTAAGTTTCTGTTTCTTACATTTTAGTCCCTTGCCAATATTTCCACTTAAACAAAACATTTTTGCTTCAGTCTTTGACTAATATTCCCCTTAAACAAGGCATCTTTGCTTTCGTCTTTGCCTAATATTTCTCCTATCTTCATATATGTAAATCTCAACTGAATGTCAATACTTAACTATCTGTACATTGACATATGCATACTTCATTATCTCTAATTAACAAGATCTTTTAGATGAGAATGAGACCCACCTTAAATTCTATCACCTCGAGGCTTCATTATATAAGCTTAAGAATTATATAGAGTGTGGATTCAGTTGGTAGAATATCTAAAAGTACTCTTGTTATTTTGATTATAAGAATATGTTCGTTTTAATA